AATGAAGGTACTCGTCCCTACAAGCCAGAAGTTAAAACATTCGCAAATATCTCAGACATGTTTGCGTGGAGTGGGGAAACGACAGGTGCAATCTTACATCAAAGATTTACCTTCCATTCCCTAACGTCAGCAATCAGCAGATACAAACCACTACTCCTTTACATACTACTTATACAATACTTGAATGTTTCCCTGTTTGAATAAGTTATTTTTTCGTTTTGAAATATTTTCGTATATACAGTGGTGCCTCGTATAACGTACTTAATGCGTTCCAGGTGCACGTCCGTTAAGTGAAAAGTCCGTATACGAAATGCATTTTCCCATATAAATACATGTTAAAACATNTGTCCCTATATTTCACTTTTCCGCCAAAACTACACATCGCACATGAATGCTGTTTGTATGTGGTGGTAGCCCCAAGTCTCCATTCGTGCACTATGGGGGTTGCGTCTCGATAGCTATAAGGGTGCGGGGGATATGGGGCTGAAAGTGGTTGAAAGTGGTTTTCTATTTCGAAATTGTCCGAATTTGTTCGAATTTAATTCGAACAATTCGAACAATATTCGAATTTGAATTCGAACATAAAATTCGAATATTAGTTCGATTATAGAACGATTGTAAACGTTCCAGAAACGTTGAAAATAGTTCGTTTGACTGGACGTGAACAGGAGACGTTCAGAAATAGAATCTGGACCAGGTCTCTAATTAGTCTGGAAACGGAGGACCTAATTCTTGCATTTTGTGAAAACGGGTAAGATTGGCTATAATGTCTTATAATATCTTAATCTTCACTGTCGTTACTTTTTGCCCACAAATAAAAACCCAGCGAAGCGGGTCCTTGCAGCTAGATTCTAGATTATTTAGAAAAACAGTCTTTTATATATAATAACAACTATATTACATAGAAATGTACGAACATCCCAGCGATGCGGGTCCTTGCAGCTAGTATATTATAAAAATAGCAGATTGTCATTGGCAACAGCAAAAAAGTGGAAACATCATTCGCACTTGTTCGCAGAAAGACCGTTGTTTGCCTCACGTAATTGCCGAACCGAAAGTCCGTTGTTCGCAGCCAGTCCGTTGCTCGAGTCACGTAACGGCCAAACAGAAAGTCCGTTGTTCGCAGCGTCCGTTATTCGAGGCGTACGTTATACGAGGCACCACTGTAAATTATTATAAAGTATCAGATATTTTCGTCATCGATAATGATTTTTGTGTTGTAATAGCCAGGGTATTAATATTGTTTGACAGTAGCTTGGCAATTGATCACAATTTATTGAAAAAATCGTATATTATTAGTTGGAATAAATTACGTTTCTATAACTAATTATGTAACGCTGTATCAGTGTGTAGTCGGAGCGAGACTGCTTGCATCTTCATTTTCTAGATTATGAAGGAAAAAAGAGAGAAAGAATCATTCGTTCTCAACAATATATTTGATTTCTGTTGTATCATTTAAAGGTATAAATATAAGTTCAGAATAAGCCATTAATTAATTGCTATGCCAACGCATCATGAAATTCTATCACTATGTCTATCACACCTTGGACTTACACATTGACTCGTATCAATGTTTACTGTAACTGTTTAAAAATATTATGTCAGTTATTTTTTTCACTCGACTGAATGCAACATAGATAAGACCGATAGTTATCTCTTTTTTATCTACAGTATATCTATTTTGAGTTTTGGAAGTGTTAATCCCTGTGATTTATGTATAGTCATCGAGTAAGGTAAAGGGAAATTGTCTACGAGATCGCAATATACTGCCATCGTTCGAAGAGCGTGTTATGGTGATTATTATGAAACAGATTACCGTAGATGGAAAGTCCCTGATAGCTATCGAATTCCACTAAAATAAACGCATGAAGAGCTGGAGGGCAAGCATTAGGAGCATATATAATGTAGCGTATAATTCCTTGTGAGCCATTGAAGAGACCTCCTTGCACCCATAAATTGACTCTCAGTATGATTCTGGCATTATCTGAAAGATTCAAATACTTGGAGAGACCAAGAGCCGAGTCATCTTTGGACGAAGGCAGGGCAATATCTGAAGTGTTTTCAGATGCTATATAAGCAACAGGGCACCCAGTTGACTGCAAGTAGTCTTCGTTGCTTTGTTTAACTTGCTCGTTTGTTGAATATAGCTCTACTGCCGTTTGGAACTGATCAAATTCATCTCTGGATAAATAGGCTCGATAAAAAGACGCTGCCACGTAGGACGTAGCCTTAGTCAGCTCATTTTGGCCTCTAATACTGAAGAAAAACGCGACCTTCTTTTTGACACCTATCTCCAGTTCTACAAAAATGGGTCATTTTTGAAGGTTGAAATTTTAATCAGTTCATCCTTGAGTGATGGTGAGTCGTCCTAGAAAATTTCATCAAGTTGGACAACTCATTCTAGAGTTATAATGTTGACAAGTAATGCATGAAGTCAAGTGTTAATCGTTACTCGGCTTCGCCTCGCTCAGACAATAATATCGACGCTAATTTTTTGTATTTTATTATTTTTCGTTTTATTTTCTACGAACTTTTTTGAAGTTTTTTTGCAAATTATAGTAAATCGGGAATTGTCTGAAACCGATAATTCAACAGAACATACAGGATTGATCCTTCAGATAACGCACTAACTTGTACTGTCAAGGAAAACCAGGTTTTAAGTTTTTTAAATTGTTTATAATACTTTTCGATATAATTCATGTTATTATTTTTTCTCATTTTACTTTCCCGTCTGTTATGTAGATATTACGAAAAACATTATTGAAAACGGGGGAAATTTGCTCTCTGGGTTTTTGCAAATCTCGAGGTTTTCAAACCTTCTAAAGTCAAAACTTAACAGAAAAAAATTCCGTGGATGTGTATATGTGTTGGCGTCGTCTGTTTTGTTTAATATCTCAGGATGGGCTAATGATTAAGAAATGAAATTTGGCACGGTGCTTTTATATAAGAGACATCAATGCTATTGAGTTTGTTGGTTAAAGTTCGAGGGGTCATGCGTCATATCTCGCGTTGGATCGGATTAAATGAAAATTTTAATTGTTATTGGTATTATAATATTAAAAAAAAAACCTCATCTGTACCCTCAAAATTAAGCCTTTTGCCTTTTTATTATATTTAATAGTATAAAAGTTGTTTTAAAAATAAAATCTCACAACAGATGGCGCATCACACAATTTTAAACTTCCAAAGTGTTTCTCAAGCATAAATATTTTTAGCCGGGAAAGTTACACAACTCGTTGCTGGAATTTTTTTTTTGTAATTTTGTACGGATGTCTCACTTTTAAAAATGTTTTAAGGTAAACACTGTAAATATTGCTAACAATCTGCGTTTTAACGATGTCCTATAAATATGTTCTACGCAATGTTATTACCGTGTTTCCCCGAAAATAAGACATCCGCAGAAAATAAGACCTAGCACAGATTTTGCTGAATTGCGAAATATAAGACCTCCCCCTGAAAGTAAGACCTAGCGAAGTTTTTTTTTAGTCGTAACGGTCATCAACAGAAGGTTGAAAGTACAGCCACTGATTGGTCAGCAGACAATTACGCCACACGGCATGATTTGCATAAGACTATGGCGTGGGAATCACAGATTTGCATAATGTTATCGCTGGTGATCGCTAATTGGTCGGCTGGGAATAACGCCACATCACATTTGCATAGTACTACGGTTCAGTAAGCACTAATTGGTCATCGAGCTCGAGGTGGACACTATAAAAAGGTTAAGTTGAATGTGTCGGAAGGTGTTCTCTCGAACCTGTTTAGCGTATTGTTCAACAATAAATGTGAATTCGTCTTCATGGAAATATAAGACATCCCCTGAAAATAAGACCTAGTGCATTTTTTAGAGCAAAAATTAATATAAGACACTGTCTTATTTTCGGGGAAACACGGTATTAATCATTGTAATAACAACTTAGTATATTTTTATATTTATTTTCGCGTTTCTCATTCGTATTCAGTTTTCATTTATTCATAAAAATACAGTACTTGATATTCTAGATAATAATCTAAGACAACTACTTCACATTGTCTTAGGGGCTGTCCATAAATTACGTAACGCATATATGGGCGTGCAGGTAATTTTTATGATGTGTTAAAATAATATTTTGTAACGATCTCAACTCTGGGATAACAGAATGATTCACTTTTGTTTCCGAAGCGTTGCGTAGCGTACCGTACTGTTTACCTCACTTCATTATTTTGTACAATACGTTTGCTGTTGGTTTCTGCAATGGCGTTAAGGAGCCTTACGGGGCCACCCCGTAAGGCTCCACACCCACACCAAAATTACGTAACACGTATACAAACGAATCCTCTTCCCTTATATACTACTTATACAATACTTAAATGTTTCCCTGTTTTAATGAGTTATGTTTTCGCCTTGAAATATTTTCCTATATAAATTATAAAGTATTTCCATCATCGATAAGGATTTTTGTGTTATAATAGCCAGGATATTAATATCGTTTGACAGTAGCGTTAAATGATTTATTATATAGATAACATTTAAGAAAACTGTCTTTCTTAATAAAAATACCAAAATATTTAGAGTTGTAAGTATTTTAAATGTAATGCGATGTCGCTTGCAGAGTCGTTGATAATTTTTACTCATCATCATTTAATGAAACTTTTTAAAGTATTTTTTCTGTATTGTATAAGAAGAATTCGGTCATCATTAATTTTAATTTTCTACTTATTTTATTAAGTAAAAATTAGAAATAACATTATTAACTTAATTTCATCAATATTCAAATAAACTAATTAAATATCAAATAATATTTATAATTTAGGTTTATAATATTAAAATTTAAATTAAAATGAAATTTATATAAAAATTTAATATATTTTATAACAGTAATTTTGTTAAACACATATTTTCTGTACAATTGCTCGCTCCTTTTAGTACAGATTTTCTGTTAGGAATGAGGAATCGAAACTTTGTATATCATAAATCAACAAATTAAATGTTATTTATATCGAAATCGAATGTATCTTACCCCATGGACTGAATAGATGAAAATGTCCTAAAATAGGCCAACGTTTAGGTCCAGGTATTGCTTGAAACGGTTTAACAACTCGTGACATCGACATATATCTCAATTGGAGATTCTTAATCGTTAGATAGGATATTCTATGAGAAAAAAAATCATATTTATAATTACAGTAATCAAACGCTGAGTATATACAAAACGTCAAAACGCGTCTCCAACTCCAATATATTTTACAGAAATTTCGAAAATGAAATTCCAAAATGTTCTCAGCATGAAGTCGTTATCTTGGATTCCTGTTTTTCTCAGATAAGATTCAAGGTTACTGTAAAATGGCTTTATTTCTCCAAAAATACATACATTTAAAAAATTTCTTTAGCATTTTTTTGTTTTTGTTCACTGTTAAATAATTTTTAAAACCCTCCATTCACTAATTAAAAGTTTAATCATTATTTACTTCTAATTCACTTAATTAAGAATTATGAGAAACAAGCTTACATTCTATTGTATATACTCGTTCAGCAGTAGTACAATATATACAGCAATAGTTGATAATGCGATGACCAGCAAGTAAAATGTTTATCAGCATTTGCGTTCCATTAAATAAATAATAGGCCTATACTGTGTAAGATTACTTATAAATTAAACATGATGTTAGCCAGTTTGGACAGATACCTGCTACTGGCTACTAAAATTGCGTCATCACATTAATAGAGCAAGGTTACCTACTATTCCTATCGCTCCACTAAAATAAAATTTTTGTTTATATACATTGTTTATCTGAGCATTATTCGTGATTTATTTCGTATTTTCGTTCTGTTAATTCGATTCGTGAAAATTATTGTGTTCAGTTTACTTTTAATTTAATTATTGTTTTACAAACATATTTATGCATGTTGCATACTTTATTTATTTACTTACTTTCACAAGTAAACAGAAAAGCCTTGAAAAAACGGTTGATATCTATCCCAAAATTAACAAATAATCGTAAAAACGAAGACAACAATTACATAAGATTAGAAATACATTACTTTATACTTTAAATACGATATAAATTAAAACAAAAAAAGTATAAAAGTTCCTGAGAAGTTTATTTCGAAATACTGATTTCCTTCGAAAGCAGCTCGAAGTATGCCAGAAGTTAACTGTTTCTAACAAAATAATTAACGACGCAGTACGTTATTCGAAAACATTTCCTTTTCCTAAGCTGAAAATAATTATTAACTCGTACCTCGTAAGTCTTAACCTTAACCATATTTACATTTATATATATTTTACCAATATTTACAATTTGTTTTTGTCGCCAAGTTAACTGTCACCCACTATCAGAGCCGGCCCTACCATAGGGCGAACGGAGCAGCCGCTCTAGGCGCAAAGTCCAAGGGGGTGCCTCAGTGGTAAAGAAAATTAAAGGGTATAAATTAGGGGCAACCAAGGAGGGGCGCTATAATAGGATCTCGCTCCATCCTAAAACTTGCCTCGGGCCGGCACTGCCCACTATCGCCTATTGTGAATGGCCCAGTTGTCGTGTACCCGTCCTCAACGTTGCTGATAGGCTCTTAGAAACTACGGTTTTAAAGATACAGTAACATTAGATGTTTTCTGAGCATAAAAATGCACTTTACGACAACAAAAGCGTATTATTTAAGACCGACAGAGGGCTGAAAACAGCGTAGAACACGACACACAACATAAAAACAATTTAACACAGTTTAAAGTTGAGCAGTGTTTCGCGCTTTTCTGTTGAACGGTGGTGCCGTATGTGCGACAATTGGTCCAATCGTTTCCGAATGTCGTCAAAACGTTACCGGAAACGTCATGTTATTCAAACGATACATCGGAATTAAAACGTACTTTCTCTTCGATTTTAGATAAGTGGCCATCGATAATACAGGGTGATCGAAAAGTCGCGTCCTTTGCGACTTTCACTGAAATTATTTTATTACTAGTTTTAGCTGAGAGATTGCTAGTACTGAATTCTCTTGACATGTAGGCTTGTCAAAAATATAGCCTAATTGATTTTTGAATGCTTCTGTTGTACTATATCTTTGAGAACACAAAAATCTTCAGATCAGCAGTCAATCAAGATCATCGACACTCAATCAATCAGCAAAGTCATTGTTTATGATTATTTTGTTAAGTTTGTTTTGACTTGGGAGCTCATTTAATTAGTATTTAGTTTTTTTTAAGTTCAAATTTCTAGATAAAAAAAAAGTATTTATTGACTAGACTAAAACTTTAAAGAAAAACTAAACACTAAGGCTGGTATAAAGTTTCTTATTTTTGAGTCAGAGTCCCGACTTTATGGCCTAAAACGCATCGTAAACGCACCAGTGAGCCACATCTGGGATCCTGTGTGCAAAGTTTCATAAATTGAGACGATTGGCAGCATAAGACCAGCCGGTTTTGTTTGCTTCAGGTGAGAGACGCTTTTCTAGTTTAGCGTGACTTATCGGTCGTGAAAAAGTAAACGTAATGTCTTCCTTTTTGAATTCTACGACGTGATGTCTTCGTTTTTGCATTAATATACATCATTTTTTACGCGATATTCTTATCTATATAAACATATAAACAATTACAACAACTTGCTATTTTTAATAATAATATCCAACAGTATGATGATTATATAATTACATTACCTTATAATGATTTGACACTCTCCAACATATTTTTCTATAGTGATATTATTCTAAAACTTGTAAATTCTTATATATATTTGTACGTTAAAAAAATTTAAATTTTTCTAAATATTATAAAACATTTATAAAATAAATTCTTACAATTTTAAACAATAATATAATAAGGTCACTTACATCTGTAACAAAAATTTCATAAATACGAGGGCTGTTCGGAAAGTTCGCGGCCTCACATAGAAAAACAAACAAAATAATGTTAAAACTTTTTTTATTTTTCAATGTAATCTCCTCTGTTAGCAATGCACTTATTCCAGCGATGTTCTAGCTTTTTTATGCCATCACAATAGGTCGATTTGTCAAGGTGTGCAAAATACTCGTTCACTTCAGAGATGACTTCGTCATTTGAGTGGAATCTCTTTCCAGCCAAGAATTTTTTTAGGTTTGGAAAAAGGTGGAAGTCACTGGGGGCCAAATCAGGTGAGTACGGTGGAT